CGCCTGCAGTCTCCCCTCCGCCGCTGGGGGGCGCTGCGGGAACGGCGGTGCCTCTGGGTGTCCATGGACCCACTCAGGGCTCCCCCGAGTCCAGGTGGCCAGGAGCGTGCGAGCGTGTGACAGTGGGAACAGGTTTCCTGTTGTCTTGGATCAACCCCCAGGAGGCAGAAACTGCTTAAAAGCCTTGCTCCTATTGGGATATTTGACTGCGTCTATAAATATGTGTAAAATAAAGTGTGGAACAGAGGGAACCGCGCAGGTGACGCCAGGCCGGGACTGCTGGCCATGGGGACTGAGGATAGACGAGCTGCTGCCACCTAACCAGCCCCTGCCCCTGCCCGGAGGAGCGCCCAGGAGGAGCCCGGGAAGAGGCCCAGGCAGACACCCCTGGCACTAAGCTGTTTAGGGTGTGCATTTGGGGACACACGCTGGGGCTCCAATCCCGGTCTGCTCTCTGCTGCTGTGTGATGTTAGCCAGGAACAGAGAGGCTGAGAGAATAGAGGCGTTTAGGTCTCGCAGGCGGTGGGCGCAGGCGCAGGCAGCATCTCTTATTCCTTCAACAGCCTCCTCTGGGCCGGGCTCTGCGGGCAGAGAAGGCCGACCCGAGGAAAACGAGTGCTTAACAAGCCCTGGGCTGGTGCGGTCGCGGGCAGGGAAGTGGGCAGGGGCCTGCCTAGGCACCGGGTCGCTGTCTCTGTTCAGAAAATAAAATGCTCCAAGGTCCAAAGCTCCTTGAGCATCTGTACAAAGCCACAGTGGAAAATTCCACCACCACCACCCCCCCCCCCACCTCTCAGGACAAGTCCAAATCCATTGCATAAAATGACCTCCCGGCTATGCATACAAAGGTGCACGTGACCCAGGGGAATTTCGAATTTTGTGTGTAGGCTTGGATCCCATCCCAACAGCTCTCGTTACAGTGCAGATGCAAATACTTCAAAATCCAAAGAAAAAGTCTGAATCTGGATCTCCTCAGAAAGCAACGCGTGGGTGCGCCTGCAGTCAGGGTGGTCAGGGAGCCTCGCGGACAGGGGCAACAGCAGAGCAAAGGCTTGAAACTAGCGGGGTGAATGGAAGGAAAAGGGGACAATGAGTGCAAAGGCCCTGTGGCCGGCCTGTGCCTGAAGTGTGGGATGAACGGCGAGGTGTGGCTGCAGCCGTGAGCTGGCGACAGGGCAGACAGCGGGGAGGCAGCGAAGCCTTTGCTTCTGTTTGTGTGACATGGAGACTCAGGAGGGTTTGCGGGGAGGACGCAGGTTCTAACCAGAACCTCTGGCTGCCTTGGGGGGAGAATTGACTGGGGGTCTGGGGCGGAAACGGAGAGACTGGGCCGGAGGTGGGCCCCGCACTCTGCACTCTGCGCTGGCATGAGGGGGGGTGCACATAAGGAAAGGGCTGGGAAAGGCGCCGCCCACGGCCAAGGGGCCCTGCGGGCTGGGTCTGGTTCTGGGTTTTGCTTTGGAGACGGGGGCCTCTCTGTGTCGCCAGGCTGGCCTCCTACTCCTGGGCTCAAGTGAGCCTCCTGCCTTGGCCTCCCCAGTAGCCAGGACCACTCCCTGGCTGTGCTCTGCTAACCCTTTTTGTTTTATTTTGAGCCAGGTTCTCACTTAGGTGCTGAGGCTGGCCTTGAACTGGCAGTCCTTCTGCCTCGGCCTCCCTAGCCATTGGGATCACAGTGCGCCACTGTGCCCAGCTCTGCTCGGGTCTTGCTGTGTGGCGTTGGCTGATTGCTAGCCCTCCCTGAACCTGCATCTCTGCTCCTCTGTGGCACAGAAACCCATGTATCGGCCCAGTTTCACCCCGTTGGTGCCAGGACAATTATTGACTCAGGTGCTGGTTGCCTGAGCTCAGCAGGTAGGCGCGGTGGAGAGGTGTGGACGCCAGTGGCCTGAGATTTGGGAGCTCTTCCCCGCCCACACACCCAGGGCTGAGAGCCACAGGGACAGACAGAGACGTGAGAGCCCTCAGGCCCCTTCGCCTGCCCTAGGGGAGCCCCTGCCTTCACTCATTCATTCAAACCTGGCGAAGGCCCTGGGTCCGGCCCTGTGGATCCCCCCTGGAGTCCAGGGGGCTGCGGCTCATATGGAAGTGGGGGGTAGGGCACTTTGTACCAATGCAGTGACTCATTCAGTTTTGGGGTCCTGAAGGCCTGGTGGCCCTTAGTTTTCCCCTCCTGCAGGTGGGCAGGAGAGGCCCCGGCCGAGCCTCGGTGAGACCAAAGGCTGAGACAGACCCCCAGAGCTTCGTTTCCTAGTGTTGATCAGGAGCTCAGAGCTTAAGAGACACCAGCCGCCTAGATCCTCAGCAGGGTCAAGACCTGACAGCAGAGGTCACCGCCATCCTCGGGGAAACTGAGACTCCAGTTGTCACCGAGAAGGCAGGAGAGCCGGGCCTCGGCGAGGCGCTTAGCTGCCCATCTGCCTGGGAACCATGGCTTGGCCCCACCCACGGGGCTGCATCGGCCTGGCCACTGGTGACATCACTGCTCCACTCCCCACGCTCAACCTGGGTGCTGACTGAAGACATCAGGGACCAACAATGACCGCTTCCTGAATGCAAGCCAGGAGTCAGGCCTTATTCTAACCATTTGTCCCCTCCTGCCATCCTTATTTTTTAAAATTTAGGAAACTTTGATGCCGTGCTTAGTCCATGCCAGGTCCAGTCTGAAGCCTTTCACAGGCTTGTAATGACCCTGTGAGGTGACCATTATTGTTATTCCCATCATATGAATCAAAAAGCAGGCACAGAGAGGTTAGGTGACTTGCTCAAAGCCACACAACTGGCGGGAGATGGAGTTCAGACCCACACAGTCTGCACTGGGGTGAATGCCACCAACCAATACGCTTTGCTCCTTCTCTTATCCCTGTTGTAGCTGTGGGGAAACTGAGGCACAGGGAGATTTTTTTTTTTGAGCATCTGGCCGCAGCTCAGTTAGAAAATGGCAAACCCGGAGGCTCAGCCTGCAGGATCCAGCTCCAGAACCACGTTGATGCCTGGGCCCCAACCCTGGGGGTGACCAGCGTACCCCCATCCCTCAGCCTTCCGCCAGCAAACCTCGCCCCCCCACTTCCCGAGCCCCTCAGACACTGCTGTTTGGAAACCCTGGCTGAGCTGGGCACCCCAGGGCCCCCGCGAGGCCTCCTGTGACCTCCGCCTGGTGCCAGGTCTCAGCAGGCCCTTCCCTCTGGTGGAGCCTCTGAGCCCCGGAGGCCTTGGGCAGGAAGGCGGGAGCCCCCAGGTGCCTTGGTTTCCTCATCCACCAACTGGACAGGTGCGGAGGGGCTAGCAGAAAGGGCCTCCAAAACCAGCGCTTTGACCTCACTGGAGCCTGAACCATTGTCAGCCCCTTTTTATTTTAGCAGAAGAAGTTTCTTCCCTGATATTTCATTCACTCGTTCACTCGCTGAATATTTTTCTAAAGGGAACCTCACAGGGGGGTCGTGTCACCAAGTCTCAGCCCCCAGCGCAGTGAATTTGCAACGTGGGTGGAGGGGCCCCCAGCCGCCTGTTCCCTGTCCCCCAGCAAGGAGCACGGCCCTCCCGCCTCTGCCGCCATAGCTGGCCTTTTCCCCACTCTGAATTTTTTGTAGTTGGACCCCTGCAGTGTGGAGTCCGGTGTGTTGTGTCCCTGGTGTGGCATTATGTTCCCGAGTCTCATCTGTGCCGCAGAACCAAACCCTCTTTACATCACAGATATTTGGGACTGTCCTCTTGACTGTTCTGAAATAAAATTCAAAGACAATGTGCTGTAGTCCCCCTTCTGTGCTGCCCCACCTTCTCTGGTTTTAGTTACCCTTGGTCAACTTTGGTCCAAACATAGTAAATGGAAGATTCCAGATGTTAACAGTTCATAAGTTTTAGGTTATACACCCTTCTCTGCACCATGATGAAATTTCTCGCTGTCCTGATCCATCCCGCCTGAGACATGAATCATCTTTTTGTCCAGTGTTTCCACTCTGTATTTGGTACCTGCCCGTTACTCATGGTTATCAGATCAGCTGCCGCTGTACAGCCATTCTTGTATGCAGAGTTTGGTACTATCTGAAGTTTCAGGCAGTGGGGGTCTTGGAAGTCCCCTACAGACTGCTGCCTACAGATAAGGGGGGAATACTGTAATCTATTTACTCGCGTGAATTTTTAAGGTTCAATATATCATCCTATGTGTGCTGTAAAGGGAGATGCATCGAAGGAAACACAGTGTGGTGGGAAGACTGGGCCAGTCCTGGGTTTGTGGGGCCTGAATCTTAATCCATGTCAAGAGCAACCCTGAAAAAATAAATAAGAATTGCTTCCTATGACTGCATCTTTAGGTAGGTGGAATGTTTATTGCAAATGAGAAAAGAAATCACAGTGAAGTATTTCCTTTTGGAAGCCAACAGATTCCCATAAATATCCCAGAAAAATCACAGACAGACTCCCGGCTATACCCACTTCACACCACGGGCTCGAGGTCCTTGCACGAGGAGTGTGGTGATCTAGCTTCTGTCCCTCGCCTTCCTGTCCCTCACCCCACAGTCAAGAAGCACCACACCAGCCAGTTCCCAGGGGCCTTGCTGTGCACAGAGGAGGGAGAGCCCTGCTCAGCTGCGCCTTCCCCAGCCCCGTCACCGCCCCTCTCCAGAGGCTCCGACACCTGGGGAGGTCCAGGCTGACAGGACTGTGGACTGACTAGTTGCCCTTAAAACTTCTCCCTTTGGCCACTTTGGCTGCTTGAACCTGTCGCATGGGGGGCTGGGAAAGCAGCACAGGTCACTTTATTCTCACGTTGTGCCTGTTGTGCTGGAGCAGGGGCGAGCTGGGCGCCTGCCTCCGGAAGCCTCCGCCCCACTCTGCAGGCTGTGTAGAGCACTCTGTGTCCCGCCCGCTGTGTGCCTTTGAGCAAGCCACACTCCCTCTCTGTGCCTGGCTTTCTTCACCCATACCGAGCGAGTGATACTCGTCAGGACACCATAGGGCTGCTGCTCTGCCTGGTGACCGCCGTCTCCCTCTCCTCCCACAGCCAGACCGTCTCGGGCGAATACTTCAGATACAAGGGCATCCTCTTCCCCGTGGGCCTCTACTCCCCGGAGAGCATCAGCCAGGCCGAGAACACCTCCAATGTGCACGACGACGACATCTTCATCATCACCTACCCCAAGTCAGGTACCTGTGGGGCTGGGGCTGGGCCAGGGGAGCAGGCGGGAAGGGACCCAGGATGCCGGGTCCCCCAGGGGGACAGGGAAAGAGCCACCCGGATGAATCTGGCCTCTGCACTTCCAGTCCCCTGCGGAAGCAGCCTTCCGAGACACCACAGGCAGGCTCCCTCCCCGGGGTAGGCTTCCCCCCTGCTAAAATCAGGCTCCCTCAGTACCTTGACCTTCATAGCATTGATTACTACCTGCTACTACATCTTTTTTGGGGGGGCAGGGGAGTACCAGGAACTGAATCCAGTAAGCCACATCCCCAGCCTCGTTTTATATTTTATTTCAGGGTCTCACTGAGTCTCTGAGGCTGGCCTTGAACTTTCGATCCTCCTACCTCAGCCTCCCGAGCCTCTGGGATTACAGGCATGTGCCGCCACCCCTGGCTCAATTAAAAAAAAAAAAAAAATATTGATTACTCTCTGGTTTCTCCACTTTGTCTGTCTGTCTGTCTTTTTGATACTGGGGATTGAGCCTCAGAGGTGCTTTACCAATGAGCCAAAAATCCCGGCCTTTTATATTGTTTTATTTTGAGATACGGCCTTGCTAAATTGCTGAGGCTAGCCTTGAACTTGAAATCCTCCTGTCCCAGCCTCCTGAGCCTCTGGGATCACAGGTGTGTGCCAGCAAGCACAGTTCAGTTTTTCTGGAGCAGTGCTCGAGTCTGAGTCTCTAAAATGACAGGGTTGACTACTATTTTCAGAATACTTTGAGAATTTTCATGATGTAACTTCACCCTTTTAAACATAAAGCCCCCTCTCCTTCCCCATGTCACTTCCTTTTTTTCTTATTGTGGTTCTAGGGCTGAAACCAGGGCCTTGCACAAAGCGCCCTGCTCAAACCCAGGACGTGCTCACCCCCGGGCTGCCACCTCGGCCCCAGCACGGGGTTCTGAGCGCGCGTGTGGAGCAGTTCTGAAATATAGTCCACTCTCCATGCGACTCGCCCACTGAGCGCACACCGCGCGGGCTTTGGCAGTCACAGAGCTGAGCCTCCACCCCACAGTCCATCTTAGAATATTTCTATCACTCCATCGAGAAATCCTGGGCCCCGGAGCCCGGGCCTCCCCAGGCACCCGCCCTTCCCCAGGCCCAGCACCCAGAGCCCACTCCCTGTCTCCAGGACTGGCCTGTTCCAGGCGTTCCCTGTGTGGGGACTCATGTAATGAGTAGCTTTGGTGTCTGGCTTCTGTCACTCACGTCGTGACATCCACAGGTGCTTCATCCCCCTCTCATGATAGTGACACTCCATGGCGTGCGCAGGCCACGTTGTGAGTGGATGCCCATCAGCTGAGGGGCGATCGGTCCTTTCCACTCTGGCTGCTGTGGATAATGCCCCCGTGGTCATCTGCGCACAGATCTTATGTGGACGTGTTTTCAGTTCTGTGGAGTTCTGGGATTGGACGGACACAACCTTCATATAACTATCAGCACAACGACAGAGGCTGGCCCAGTGGCCCACGCCTGCAATCCCAGCAGCTCGGGAGGCTGAGGCAGGAGGCAAGTTCAAGGCCAGCCTCAGCAATTTAGCTAGACCCTGTCTCAAAATAAAAAATTAAAAGGGTTGGGGATGTGGCTCAGTGATTGAGCACCCTGGGCCCCCCCCCAAAAAAAGAAAAAGATACAGAAGAATACACCCAACTGCCCACATCCCTTGTAGCCTTTGGTCATTAACTCCTCCCTCCACCCTACCCCCTGGCAACCAGTGATCACCTTGTACCCTATGGTCTTGCCCTTTCTTAAATGTCACCTAGATGGAGGCACGTGGCATGCAGCTTTTGAGACGAAGGACAGACTTATTCCACTCACCATGATGCACTTTGGGTTGTTAGAGTGGTGCTGAGGCCGCAGGTTACGGGCTGGTTTTGGGCTGTAGGGACGGGGCTCGGCCTGTCTGGGGTCGGTTCCTCCAGGGTGAATAGGAGACAGCTTCTAGGAAGCTTTGTGGACAGGTCTGTGCATGGAATATGTTTCCACTTATCTTGGGTAAATACTCAGATGAGCGATTGCTGGCTCTGTGGCCCCCGTGTGTTGAGCTTTATAAGAAGCCACCAGGCTGCCGGGTGCCACTTGGCAAGGCCCTAAGAACTCGGTGAGCCCCTGTCCCAAAATAAAACAGAGAAAAAGGCTGGGGATGTGGCTCAGTGGTTAGGCACCCCTGGGTTCAATCCCTGCTACCAAAATAACCCAAAAAAAAAACCCAGCGGACGGTTCTCCCCAGTGGCTTTGCCACTTTGCCTGCTCACCAGCCATGGCACCGGGTCCCCTGCTCTGCATCCTGCCAGCTCACCACCACCAGGTGGTTTCCAGCGGTTTGATAGGTGCCGACTGATGTTCGATTGTGGCTTTGATTCGCTTTTCCCCTGATGTCAGCACTGTCTGGCCGTCCTCTGTCCTCCGTGGTACAGGGTCTTTTCCAATCTTTCCTCCTCTTAGTGGGCTGTTTGTTTTCTCATCGTTGAGTTTCGAGACATTTCTTTTACAGTCCATGATCAGATACGCGTCTTGAAGCCTCCTCCTGGCTGCGGCTGTCTGAGCGCTCTCTTATCAGAGCATAAGAGCAGAGATTCTTCATCTGGATGATATCCAATTAGTCACTTTGTCCTTTTACATATCATGCTTTTGTCGTATCTAAGAAATCTTTGCTTAACCTATGACCACAAAGATGTCTTCTGTTTCTTCTTCTAGAAATTTTACAGGTTTAAATTGCACATTTAAATCTGTGATCCATTTTGAGCTGGATGTTATCCATGGTATTAGGTAGAGATCAAGGTTCTTTGTGTATGGATGTCCAGATATTTTGTGTTTATTTTTTTTTAATAGATTTAAAATGGATTAACTTCTCCTCAGTCCTGTCACGTGTAGATAACATCACATTCACTTTTTCTTTTGAGATAGTTCTGGGGATCGGACCCAGTGCCTCACACATGCTGGGCAAATGCTCTACAACCACAATACATCCCCAGCCCGTCCTCTTTAAAAAAAAAGAAGAAAGAAAGAAAAGAAAGAAATTTCTCAAAGTCGTGGAGGTTGGCCTCAGACTTGCAATCCTCCTGCCTCGGCCTCCCAAGTTGCTGGGATTGTATCATGCCTGACCCCAGCTGTTTTTTTTTGTTTTTTTTTCTTTAACAGTTCCGCAGTATTTCACGACACTGACATACAATCATTCTTGTTTAACCATTTGCTTACTGATTAACACTTAGTAATTTTTTATCTTTTCCTTTTATTTGTTTATTTGGTACTGGGGACTGAACCCAGAGGTACTCTACCACTGAGCCACACCCCAGCCTGAGCACATTTTAGTTTTGTTTTTTTTAAACTATTCATATTTCCTTTTCTAGGATGATCTCTGGTACCCGCCCCCCCCCCCCCATTGAACACTTGGTCTTTCATTGTTTCATAGGAGCTCTTTATATATTAGTGAACTTAATTCTTCACGGAGACTGAATTATAAATATGTTCCCCAGTTGTTTTTTTTTTACTTTCATCATAATTTTTCTATGCATATCTTTAAAATCATGTATCAAGTTGACTTCCTAATTTAGGATCTCTTTGGATTTATGGCTCATCATTATGATCATGATCACAGGGTTTTTGTTTCTTTGTGTTTTAAGACAAGGTCTCACTCTGTTATCCAGGCTGGCCTGGAACTCCTGGGCTCAAGGGATCCTCCTGCCTCAGCCTCCTGAGCAGCTAGCTGGGAGGGATGACAGGCTCCACCACCGTGCCTGGCTGATTGTGGTTTCAATGTGGTGGACCACAGTCATCAGGATCTCGGGTGGAGGCTTGGATCTTTTTTGGTGCTTTAAGGTCACAGCAACACTCCATGATGAAACACTTGTCCCTTGGTTATTCCTACCTTAGAAAATGTGGGAAAGTTCTAGAATATCTCTAAGCCCTTACTTTCCCCATCTCTAGTTTCTTTATTTTCCCCTATAATGACAACAGGACTTATGTGTATCAGTTAGGGTATATGTTAAGCTGCTGTAACAAAGAGACCCCAAGAAATAACCAGGATTTTCTCCCCGATAACAGTTCAGGTAGGTGGGCATTTGAGCAGGCAAGTAACTCCATTCCAAGAAGTCAGAAAGGCTTAGAATGCCCTTCTAGCTTGGTGGCTTCTAAAATGGTGTCGTCCTCTTTGGCAACACCACTTCCAGAGTCCTGTCGGCAAAGGGAAAAGGGAAGAAAAAAGGGGAAAGGGTATGGAGGACAAGCAGCTCCTCTTAAAGGCAGGGCCCAGAAAGTGCTGTCCCCTCTACTCACAGCTCATAGGCCAGAGCTTAGTCACGTGACCACACCCAGCTGCAAAGGATTCTGGGGGCTGTAGTTTCTGGGTGAATGCCAGAGTGCTCGATGAACCTTAAATATTCTGATACTATCACCAGGAGGGGAAAATGAACTGTGAAGACACTTGGCATCAACTAAACCATCTCACACGGGTGCATCAGTCAGCCGCAGACAGGAGACTGAAACCGCACAGTCATTTCGACAGGAGAGGCTTAATGCAAAGAAGGATTTAAGGGCCATTGGGGTGGCTTTTTAGAAATTCAGAAGTATTGGCAAGGATGTGGAAAAATTGGTTGGAGCCTGGTGCACTGTTAGTGGGAGGATAAAATGGTACAGCCACTATGGAAAACGCTCTGGTGCTTCCTAAAAAGAAAAATTAAACATAGAATTATCATATAGTCCATAAGGTCACTTTTTGATATATATTCCAAAAAAGAAAAAAAATCGGAGTAGATATTGGCATGACGATGTTCACGGCCACATCATTCAGAATGACCAGAAAGGGGAAACAGCCCAATGTCCATCAAAGAACGAGTCCGTCATTCAGCCTTTAAAGAAGAGGAAGATCCTGGTACATGCTATAACTCACATGAACCTTCAGACACTGTGCCAAGAAGCCAGACACACGGGTCCACTCATAGAGGCACTTGGGATGGTCACATTCCAGGGTGGGTGCCAGGGGGTGAGGGACCGTGGGAGGTGGGAGTGGGTTGAGAGTCCAGAGTTTCCATTCTGCACATGACAGCTGTGGCGGTGGCCTAACGGTTGCCCAGTGGTGTGATTTTACTTCACGCCACTGTACAGCTAACCTTAAAAAGGTTCGATGGTAAATTTGCATTATTCAGAGGTAGACTTAGCAGCCTGTAACAGGGGCTTCCACTACAAAAGGCTAGAGACTCAGAAGGACTCGGGAACAGCTAATGCAGCAAGCAGCCACTGCTTCCAGGGCTGGTCTAAGCCCCAGTGAATCTGGAAGAGGGACTCCCCCTCCCCCAGCTAAGATTCGACTTTCACCGGAGCTGACATTTCCTGGGGGAGGAGACAAGTGTCACTGGGCTGGTGGCTGGTGACCACAAGATAAGATCTGTGAATCCACAAGATCCTCGAGAGGAGCCGGTGAGGACCCGTGGGCGGCTGCTGCGTTCCTCCAGCGCCCTCTACTGGCAAAGCCGGGCCCAGCCAGCTGGGAGGGCAAGGGGTTCCCAGGGTCCAGCTCCAACATCACCCGCCAGCGCTTGGGGAGGCAGCAGACCACACGCGGATGATGGTCGCAGGGGTGGTGGTTGGAATCCCAGTCAGTGGAACCCTAATCATAGGCTGTTGTGGGCAGGAGTATAATTGTTCATCGCTCTGCCCTGGTCTCCTGCCCTCTGAGCCCATCTGCACCCCACTGATGGGGGGCTGCCTATACCTAGGGTCCTGGGGCTCAAAACAAGGCATCGGAATAAGCAGACCTTATACCCAGGCACCATGGACTCAATTCCAACTTAAAGGGGGGATTTGCTGCTCTGCCACCAAAGCCTAGGTATGTCAGTGGCTGAACCCCATAATTTATTTCTTGTTCTTGCAAACCCCAGAGCCGTCAGGTGGATGGGGGGAGGGAAATCCACGCTGCCATGGCCATCTGGCGCCTGCCATCCCTGGAGTCTCTGTGACCAGCCGGCAGAGAGTTGGTGTTTTGGGGCCAGGCCTGGAAATGGCTGCAGAGGTGGCTGCCACCTACTTGTCCCTGGCAAGACAGTCACATGGCCCCACACAGAGACCAGAAAATACAGCCCCAGCAGGAAAGTGGACCGGGACTGGGCAGCCAGAGGCCATCTGTGCCACATGGCACTGCCCAGCCCCACCACCTGGAACCAGTGGCTTTGATTCTTTTGAGGCCGGGTTTCCTGCTCTGAGGATGAGGCCGCTCAACCCGGCTCTTCCCACGGTGGCAGAGCACTCCGTCGACCTTGTTGCCATGACCCTGACGGTGTCCCACTCCTGACTGCGCTGCCCATCTCCCCCAACAGGCACCACTTGGATGATCGAGATCCTCAGCTTGATCCTGAAGAACGGGGACCCCTCCTGGATCCGCTCGGTGCCCATCTGGGAGCGCGCGCCCTGGTGTGAGACCATCATAAGCGCCTTCACCCTCCAGGACCAGACGAGCCCCCGCCTGCTGAGCTCCCACCTCCCCATCCAGCTCTTTCCCAAGGCCTTCTTCAGCACCAAGGCCAAGGTGGGGGGGGGGATGGGAGGGGGGCAGGAAGAGGGAGCATGATCAGCAGATCCATTCAGCACCTGTGTGTTGAGCACCTACTGTGTGTGGGGCTCTGACCTGGCACAGTAGTAAACAGACATCAGGAAGTCTGACAGAGGGGAGAGCCGGCACAAAGGCCCTGTGGTGAGGGGGGTGTGTCTGGAAACAAGTGGATGAGGGGAAGGGGTGGAGATGAGGTCAGCGGCCATGTGAGGGCCCTGAGGATTTAGGAGGGTGGTGATCAGGCCTGGGCTGGCTGGCGCCCCCTGGCTGCCAGGTGGGGGGACACCGTCAGGGCTAGGGCAGAAGCAGGGAGGCAGAGAGGAAGCAGCCCTGGTGGTTCTGGTGCCGGTGGGAGGTGACAACTGGACCAGGGTGGTGGCCTTGAGGTGAAGGAAAGGGACTGGGCTGGAGGTGTGTTTGAGGAGGGAAGGACAAGGCTGTGCTGACAGATGAGTCAAGGTGACAGCTGAGCCGTGATGATACTGCCCCCTGCTGGGCCAGGAGGGAGGTGGGCTCTGCTGGGCGACCCTGGTCCAGGCCTAACCTGGTCTAGGCCCGGACTGCAAGGGGCAAGGAGGTGCACAGATCTGACACATCTGTGTGGGACCCCTCGGTACCATCCTCCCTCAGCCTCCCTGAGCCTTGGTTCCAGCCCCTGTGCGGCTACCAAACCTGCAGCTGCCGAAGTCCCTTTATATAGAAGGGCACTGCGTTTGTACATGACCTGGGCACTTTAAATCATACCCCCCCCCGCCCCGTGCAAGGCAAGCGTTATGACAGACAGCCGTCATCCTACTGTGCAGCTTAGGGAATAACGAGGGAAAAGCCTGCCCACGTCTAGAACCGACAGGCCCTTTCCTGAATGTTATGCGGGCAAAGATCCTTATTAAGTGAGAAACTCCAAGGCCTTCCAGGTTACCTCCTGGACCCGGGGGCAAGCTCCAGATCTTTCTTTGGGCAAAGTGAACCGTCTACTACACAGGGCCAGGTGGGTGTCCCGGAATGCACCCACCTGACATCAGAAGTCACACTGGTCTCCATCTAGGGGACCTGGGATTTCTTTCTTGGCATCCACCCCTGATGCCTGTGTCAGTCCCTGAGCGCTTCTGTGGACTCTAAATAAAATACTAAAAAGGGCCGGGGATGTGGCTCAGAGGTCAAGTGGCCCTGAGTTAATCTCCAGTATCAAAAAAAAGAGCAGCAGGTTGTCAGGCTTCAGACGCCAGCCCAGGCGGCTCTGTGCTGGGGCCCCGGGAGCCAGAGGGGGCAGTAAGCAAGGAGAGCAGGGCTCCAGGCGTAGAAAGAGGGTCCAGGGGAGGCTGGAAGGCCAAGGAAGGGGCTGGGGGCCAGCTTTGTCTCCTGGTGCATGCCCCCTGCCCTGAGCACCCCCGTCCTGAATCCCGCACCTTCTCTCTCCACCTCTTTTCTCTGAGGCCAAACTGTCCCTCCAGCTGGCCCAGAAACAGCTCCTCCCTGTCCCTGGTTGGAAGGAGCGCTCCCATCTCCTGGGGAGTCTGCCCCGCATCCTTCCTGCCGTAGGGTCACAAGAGGGGCTGGCGGGCAGCAGCCTTGGGTCTGGGGTTCTGCCTCTGTGTGACGTCTGTCCCTGTCCTGGCCATCCGCGTGCAGGTGATCTACCTAAGCAGGAACCCCCGGGACGTGGTGGTCTCCTTCTACCATTACTCCAAGATCGCCAGGCAACTGAAGGACCCTGGCACACCTGACCAGTTCCTGGAGAACTTCCTCAAGGGCGAAGGTGAGCCCTGGGTGGAGCAGGGGACCCAGACGACCTTACAGAGTGGGGGGGAGGCCAGGAAGTGAGGCAAGGAGACGGAGGGACGGACAGACAGAGGAGGGACACAGGCAGATGGTCAAGGGCCGCCCACGGTGGGGAGCTGGGGAGGAGTGGGCTAGAGGCAGATGCAGTGAACTTGGCAGATGCAGGAGGGTGTCCACTCTGGCGTTGTGATGGCGGGGGGGGGGTGGTGTCGCGTCCTGAGGTGGAGTTGGTGCCTTTGGGACCCCAAGCAGCTGCTGCCCACCCTCACCCCTGCCCCTCTGCCCCCAGTGCAGTTCGGCTCCTGGTTCGACCACATTAAGGGCTGGATTCGGATGCAGGGCAGAGAGAACTTCCTGCTCCTCACCTACGAGGAGTTGCAGCGGGTGAGTCCCCACCTCTGCCTCGCCAGCCCTCTACCCTCCCCGCTGTGCCCCAGTGCACCAGGGGATGAGGAACAGAGACCCTGAGCAATTCAGAACAGGGCAGTCAAAGGGAGCCTCTGAGGCAAAGGTGACACCAAGCCAAGGTCTCAAGGAGGAGAGAGAGACAGAGAGCCATGGAGACATGGAGGGGGAATAGTGTCCCAGGCAGGGGAATAGCCAGTGCAAAGGCCCTGAGGTTGCTTCTTTTCCTTGAAGGGTTCTTAGGAAAACAAAGAGTCTGGGCACAGTGGCTCACACCTGTAACCCCAGCGGTTCCGGAGGCCGAGGCAGGAGTACCTCGAGTTTAAAACCAGCCTCAGCAACATCAAGGCCCTAAGCAACTCAGGGAGACCCAGTCTCTAAATAAAATACAAAAAAGGGCTGGGGATGTGGCTCAGTGGTTGACTGCCCCTGGGTTCAATCCCCAGTATCTGCCCCTGCACCCCCCACCAAAAAAAAAAAAAGAACAGGAGAGCAAGAGATCCCTGCAGAGGACAAAGCAAAATAGGAAAAGAGAAAAGAGAGGGTGGAAGGTGGAGCCGCCGGGAGGACTGCACCTCGTCTCTGAGCTGGGGGGAGAGGGCAAATGCGATCAAGGGCAGTTGTGTGGAGCCTGAGGACCGGCAGAGGACACAGTGGAGGAACAGCCTGGGGGACACACTGGGATCCCGGCTGGACCCCTCCGAGGGCCCTGGGGCAGGCACAGGTCAAGGGGCACCTTGCCTGGTGCACTCAGGGGTGGCTCCCAGGGGCCAGGCAGGGTGGTGGCTATGGCTCTGGCCAGCTATCAGACAGATGCTGGGCTTCCAGAACAATCCGCAGCCAACAAGCCCAAGCCCAACCATTCAAGGTTCCTGGTTTCTTTTTTTTCTCTGACACTGGGGACGGAACCCGGGGTACTCTACCACTGAGCCACATCCCCGTCCCTTTTTCAAATTACTTTATTCTTAGAATGGGTCTCCCTACATTGCTGAGGCTGGCTTTGACCTCGCCATCCTCCTGCCTCGGCCTCCTGAGCCTCCGGCCTGTTCCGCTCCGGGTCCCTGCCCCAGCCTGCGCTTTCCCGGGTGCGCGCTCCACATGCTCCCGGTGGGCTCCTTCCTGCTGCGCTCTTTGCAGGGGAAGGGTCTGCACTCTGGTGTCCCACAAAGTTGAAGTCCCCTTGAAAGTCTCAGCTCAGGCAGGGCTGGAGCTGGGGGCCGAGTGGCGCAGCTCCCTGGCTCCATCCCAGCACCCAAGCCAGCAGCAGCAGCAGGAGCAGAAACGTGCCGGGGGCCCAGAAGTCTCACCCTTAAAATGGGGTGAAAAGAATGACTCACAGCTAGGGCACGGGGGTTCCGGCACCGGGGCACTGTGACCACCGATCAGGTCCAGCCTCGTGAGCGCCGCGTGGACAGCGGTGGACAGCGGTGGAGAGGGCAGACCTGACCGGGAAACAGAGCCAATGTCTGCCACTTGGTGCTGAATCCCAAGGTGACGGCACTTAATCCCCCACAGCAGGGACCAGCCAGGCTACCTGCCTCTGATGCAGCTTCCCGTGGTTGCCCCACGCGGCCATCCCCCTCCTCTCCGGGGAGCAAACGGGGAGTTAAGAACTTGAGAGAGCTCACCACCGAGGCGCACAGCCCTCCCCCAGGCTCCCTCCGTAATTTCTTTTTTCCATCCGGGTAAATGTCTTTTGATGGAACAGGGGAGGGTGGAAGATGCGGCCACCGTGAGCACGGTCCCTTGTCCCCGGGTGGGTGGACCTTTTCCATCAAGCTTTGTTCTCCAAACCAAAAGTAGGCCAGAGAGCCTAGCAGAACTTCTGGGCCACCCACCCCAAGGCGGAGGCTGAGCCCACAGGTTGGCACTCCTGGGACACAGCAGTGGTTCAAGCAGACAGAGGGATGGAGGGTCAGAAAGAGAGGTGACCTGCAAGAGCAGGGCAGTCCAGCTGCAGAGCCACCTGGAGGCAGGCCGCGCAGGGCCAGGGCGCTGAGTATCACAGAAGGCAGTGGGGCAGAGGGGCCTGTGAGCTTCAGACCTGAGTCTGAGCTTCTCCCTGCCTGTGTGGCCTTAGACAAGTGTCTTCCCCTCTCTGAGCCTTCATTCACTAACCAGATGATACTTGCAGAGCTGACAACAGGATCAGAAAATGCACATGAGGGGTTTGGACCAGAGCTTGGTGTATACTAGGTGCTCATTCTGCAGTGGTTTCAATGATCACTGTCCCAAGGAAGGTGATATTCAGAATGCATCCATGACAGAGGACATTCTGACAGCCCAGTGCCAGGTCTGGAGGGAGGAAAGTATAGGAGGGAAAGTTCTGGAAGGACAGGGTGGGAGGCCTTGGGAGGAGCTGAGACCAGGCCACTTTGTCCTGGAAGGGCAGGCCTGGGGACCAGGACCCTGTCCTGGGGCACTGGGGAGCCATCGGGAAGCTGGGAGGAGAGGGGCAGCAGTGTATGTGGAATGGGGACGAGGCTGGGGGCAGGGAGGCCAGGGAGGAGGCTGGGGCAGGACAGCAGAGGCAGAGGGCAGGAGGGACAGGCTGATGACAGGGGTGTAGGGTGAGGGGGACGGCGGGGTGTGGCCAGGCCTGGGAGTCTAGCCCTGTGGCTGGGACACGGAGGGCTCTCCCAAGGGGGGCCCAGAGGAGCTGACCAGGAGCTGCCTGCTTCTGACCCCAGGGAGGATGGGCTCCAAAAGGCCCTGAGCTGACTTCTGACCCGCTGTGACCTCAGGTGCACCCAGCCCCCATTCAGAACCTTCCAAACTGCGAGGCCCAACCCCTTGGCCTCGCCTTGGACAGAGGTGGGAAAATAGGCAGGGACAGGAGGCACCCGGCCACTCAGGGCCAGGACCTGGCATCCAGCCCCCTGGATGCGGCGCCCTCCCACTGCTGACCCCTCCCCACCCACTCTCCGCCGCTCCCAGGACCTCCAAGGCTCCGTACAGCGCATCTGTGAGTTCCTGGGCCGGCCGCTGGACGAGGAGGCCCTGAGCTCTGTGGTGGCACACTCGACCTTCGGTGCCATGAAGGCCAATTCCATGTCCAACTACACGCTGCTGCCCACCAGCCTGCTGGACCACCGCCAAGGGGCCTTCCTCCGGAAAGGTGAGGGAGCTCTGGGCTCCGGGATTCAGGCCCCACCAGGCCACCAGATCGCTGTGTGATTTGGGCCAGTTCCTTAGCCTCTCTGGGCCTCAGTTTTCCCAGCTGGAGTGTAGGGGTGAACAGGGTCACTAAGAACCCAGGATTGACTTCGCTCACAGAGCTCAGTATAGAGCCTGGCACACGAGTCTCTGCTCTGAGTCTCTCTCTCCTCTCCAGGGAACAGGACCCCATGGGCACCGATCCAGGCTGCCAACCAGGCCAAGGCCCCACAGATCCTCCTTGGCATTAAGAAGAAATACCCCAGTGTCGGATTACAGAGCAGGGGTAGAAGCAGTTAGTCCTGCTCTAACCAACTGACACAGGCCACAAACAGCACACACCTGTTCTCAGCTTACACTTCTGGGGGTCAGAGATCCAAAATCAGTCTGCCTGGGTAACATCAGGCCAAAAGGACCAGAAATCTTCTGAAGACTTCACAGGAGAATCTTTTTGGTTTCTCACTAACCTACATTCCCAGCATCTGGCCTCCTCCTGCATCTTCAAAGCCAGCAGCCGAGCACCCTCGGTCCTCCAGCCTCCCTCATTTAAGGTCCCTTGTGCTGCACACCCCGTGATTCCAATGGCTGGTGCTAGAGGATTGTAAATTTGAGGCCAGCCTCAGCAATTTAGTGAGGCTCTAAGCAATTTATAGAGATCTTGTCTCAAAATTTAAAAATAGAGGGCTGGGGCTGTAGCTTTGGGGTAAAGTGCCCCTGGGTTCAATTCCCAGTACAAGGGGGGAAAGAAAGCATTCCTTGTAGTGACATTGGGCTCACCCAGATAATCTAGAACCATCTCCCAACTCAAGACCCTTCATCACATCTTCCAAGTTCCCTTTGACATGCAGAGTTACATATTCACAGATCCAAGTTGGGTCGCAGGCAGCTGGGGGCCCGGCTAGGGCCGGATAGGGCCTCTCTACGAGCTACTGTGATGGGAATGACATGGGCCCCAGGATTCCAGTGCCCGGATGATCACCCATGACCACATAGGAAACCGGAGGCTCAGGGGGTGGCGGAGCCCTGGGGCTGCCAGGAGGCCCCAGACACCTGACCGGGTTTCCGCAGGGGAGGGGCCCAGTGATCACCCAGCAACAAGAGTTAGGGACAGGACAGAGGAGGCCAGCAGACTGTAAGAGAGGTGCTGGACAGAGGCAAAGGGTCAAGGGGCGAAGTGGGGTGCCAGGGGAGGGAGGAGGTGAGGGCTCAGAGCCCTGCAGGTGACAGACCATGTAGGAGTCCCCCATCCTAGGTAAAGGGGGCGACAGGTCGCTGGGGAGGTGGAGGGTGCTGTGAAGGAAGATGCTGGAATGTTAGGGGTGAGGGGAGGACGCCCCAGCGGCTCCTCCCTCCCTCCCTCCATCCCCTCCAGGGGTCTGCGGGGACTGGAAGAACCACTTCACGGTGGCGCAGAGCGAGGCTTTCGACCGCGTGTACCGGGAGCAGATGCGCGGAGTGCAGGCCTTTCCCTGGGACGAGGCCCCAGAGGAGAGCAGCCCGGACCCCGAGCCCCAGCCCAAGCCGGAGACTGAGCCCCAGCCTGAGCCCGAGCCGGATCCCAGCCCCGTCCAGGCCTCGGATCCCGCCCACCCGTGACCCCGAATAAACACGTCGCTCCAGCCCGGCTCCTTGATGCGCGCGAGGGCGAGGGCGGCAGGGGGCGCGCGAGGGCGCTGGGGCGGCGGCGGGGGACCCCGCACCTGGCGCCCAGGCTGCGTTCCACCGGGGCCTTGGGTCCCATCTGTCCCGCCAATGGGGTTGGTGACTCAGGAGCCCCCGCTCGGAGGCAAAGACGCTACCGAGGCCCGGGCTGTGCACAGCTTCTCCGGGCCGCGCTGCGCTGCGCTGCGCTCTGGGGCTGGGGACCTGGCTACAGAAATACAAGTTTGGGGCACGAAGGAGTTTTATTCTGAGCAAAAGTAATGGGGAGCCTAGAGGATCCACCGCTTCGTGCTCCCCGAACGCCCAGCGCCAGCCCAGCCCCCACCGGACCCCTGGGCGGCTGTGAACCCAGGACCTTCCGGCCCCCGACTGTTCCACTGAGGCTCCTGCCCTCAGCGCCCCGCTCTCTGCTCTCCCGCCTCCGCTTACTCACAGCTTCTGGGGGGAGGGAGGGAGGGGGAAGCATGGCCTTTTGTCCAGGGACTCCTCAGGCATGTCCCACAGAATTCCATGGGGCTGCTCAGCCAGCCTCTTGGGGAGAGTCCATCCTGGCTGAACGGGTTCTGGGGTCCACAGCAATGGAGGCCTCCTGCGACTTCCCTGACCCGGAACTGAGGCCTAGGGCCGGCACTGGGCTTCTTCCACTGCCCAGGCCCTGAGGCCAGAGGCCTTGTCTGAGGCACAGCCTCAGGCAGGGGTCTCTGAGAGGGCACATTTGTCTGGGCTCCTGTCAGGGTCGCCCTCCAAGTCCTGAGCGGGAGGCCCAGTCTGGCTTCGGGAAACCTCTGGATTCCGGGAGCTTGGATGCAGCGTCATCCCCCAACCTCCTTTGGGTTGGGGACAGATAGCGGAGGTGGCGGCGGGCAGGGATCAGGGGCAGGGGGCCACCCCAGGGCTGGGACCAGGCCAGAGGGCGGGTGTCCACCTCACCCCACGGGCCTCCTCCAGTGCCCCGCTGCCTCATCAGGGCCTTGGCAGGAGTGTCCTTGGAACCCCGGGACTTTTTGAGCTGTGGAAGGAAAAAGAGGAGGTGAGAGGAGGTGAGGGGGAGGAGGCTTCTGGGGCCCAGAGCCAGGGAGGGAGGAGGGGAGGAGAGAGGTGGGGAGAGGTGGAGGGGATGCAGGGGAAGGTTAGATGGGAGGAGAGGGAGGGAGGAGGAGGAGGAGGAGAGGAAGCAGGGGAGCTGGAGGAAGATGGGGGTGAGGAGAGGAAGGAGAAGAGGGAGGGTGGGAGGTGGGGGGAGATGTCAGGGAAGCAGGTAGGGTGGAGGGGAGGTCTGGCACCCCCAGACCCGAGGGGGCAAGGAGCCACATCCCTCCTGCGGCTTTGCAGGTGGGAGGAACTGGAAGCAGCTGGCAGCTGCCTGGGGAGGGGGGGGACAAATATTTGCTAAGGGAGGTGATGCAGGGTCAGGGTGGCAGGGGACGAGGTGGAGGTGGAGGCGAGAACCTTGCCCCTGCCTAGCCCCCTTCTCCTCCTCCAGCTCCAGGAAGCCGCTGACTGGGAGGAGGGAGCCAGTCCCAGGGGAGAAGCCTCTGGCTCCCACTTAGCAGATGGGGAGGCTGAGGCTGGGGTACAGCTCAGAGGGGCTGCGCCATAGGCGTGTCTGCCTGTCTCCCCTACGTGGTGCTGCTCTGACCCCCCCAGCAGCTCACTTTGTGGCTGAGGAGACTGAGACTCAGAGGAAAAAGTCACCTGATCAGGGTCCTCCAGTGAGGTCCAATGGTTGCTTGGAACCTCATTGTCTGAGCAGCATGAGGAACAAGCCCTTGGGCTCCCATAATCCTCTCCCCCTACAGCCTTGTGACTCTCAAATCCAGGAAGCGGACCATTGAAAGGCCCACTCGGGAGGCAGCCAGGGCTCTGGGCCTTGGTTTCCCCCTCTGTGAAGTGGGTAGATTAAATTTAGCCAGTCTTGTGAAAGTGCTGGGCGTGGCGAGGCGACAAAGCAGGCTGGTTATCTAAAGGATGGTTATTCCAACCTGGGGCCAGTTACTTAATCTGAGCCTCCACTTTCCCCTTGGTAACAATAAGCATGACAGCAGTGTGACCTCCCCGGCCCGGGGTGAGAATGTAATGAAATAAATAAAACATGAATTCCGTTTCACCCAGACTGGGAAGGAGCTCAACTGCTCAGCCACCCCCTAGATGGGAACCCTGGGGTTCAGGGAAGCATGTAGCACCCAAGGCTCAGGGGTCTTTTTCTGCCCCCTGCTACCCAGAGCTTGCCCCCCAACACATGGAGGAGGCTCATGAAACGGGCCCCGCAGTTGTACATCGAGGCCAGCGGTTCGCTCTTCGTACCTCCCCGGTGCTGGGCGTGCGGTTGGCCCTTGGAAAACACTTCCTGTTCTGGGGTTCAGAGTAGGACCCCGGAACCCAGCCCACCCCTGTGGGTGCTGCCTTCCCCTTCCTGGGCCTCTGCTGTCACCTCTGTCCTCCGGCAGCAGCCACCAGGTCTTACCTCATTGTCACCGTCACTGGAGCCTGACATCTGGGACAGGCGGCTCAGGTCCCACAGGGAGCGGCTGGGCCGAGTCGGGGGGCCACTGCCAGTCCGGGCACGCTGTACGCTTCTTAGGATGTCACTGAGAGCGGGCCCTGGTGGGGCAGGGGACTCCTGCCTGTCCCCCTCGAGGATGCGGCAGGCAGCCAGGCGGTGGGCCAGTGGCCCATTGGGTGGCAGCCGTGACACAGGGGCTACAGGGCAGCGGTGAGCCACACGGTGTGGGCTGCGGGCCAGCTGCCCGTCTCCCGGGACGCTGACGAGGGGGCCCTGGGCGGGCATGGATGGGAGTGGCCACGAGGCTGCATACAGTGTCCGGAACTCACGACTGAAAGCGTCGACGATCTCTCCGGTCATCAGAGTCACCAGACCGCGGTGCAGGCGGGCGTCACTCCACGTGAAGCTGGGGGACCAGAATCAGGGGTCAGGTCTCTGTGAAGCCTGATTCCCATCGCCAGTCCCCTCCCGGGTCCCAAGGCAGGTGGGGTGACCTCAGACAGGTCCTGGCCTCTAGCACCTCAGTTTCCCCCTCTGTAGAAGGGGGACAACAGAGGTACACGACCCGAGGGACAGATGTGAGGACCACATGAGTCAAGACACTGTCCTTTGGAGTCAGACTGGATCTCAAACCTGGGCTCTGCCCGGCCCCAGCCAGGAACGTTGCAGCTGGAAAGAGTCGGGGTGAGTTTCCCGGCACCCACAGCCTGTTTTAAACTCAGCTGCTTCCCAGAAAGAGTGCATTCATTAAGCACTTGCTGTTTGCCGGGCCCTGGGTCTCCTGCCCCCTGCCTGCCTTAGCTCCTTCCTCTGTAACATGAAGCCCAAGCACAGGCAGACTCCAGGGAGGACATGGGTTCCTGTCCCTGCCTGTGGCCAGTGCGGAGAGCCTGAGAGCTGTGGTGGTGGTGGGTGCTCTTGTCCCCTGTCCCCGCGGGGTGTGCTCGTAAATTCTCGGCTGCAGTCTTGGTGCCGCACATGCCGGGCAGACTCCTCCTGTCTCCCAGCCTCCTTGGAATGAAGCGAGACCCGGGCTCCAACCCCGGCTCAGAGACTCCTGGGTGTGTCACTTTGCCCACCTGGAAGTGGGGTTGCCGCGGGAGATGTGAAGTCAGACCCTCAGGGGGCGCAGCACACACAGTGGACAATCCGTGGCCAGCATCGTGGGCGCTGCTCAGGCGTCCTTACCTTGGCGAGGTGACTGTCCTCACTCCATTGAAGGTCAGCAGGTTGGGCCACCTTGCACGTTGTGCCACCTGCCCCCACCTATGACCTCACCCCAGAGCGGTCAGTGGGAACCCTGAGGGGTCTGTGAGGTCACCGCATTCCACTTCACAAAGACTTGTCGGGCCCTGGCGCTGGCCTGTCTCCGCCCCGAGGCCTCAAGAGCTTCCTGAGAGGGACACAGAGCATTGGGACCTGACCCTCCCAGTGGCCAGGACAAGGAGCAGAGGTCCTGTGGGTAGGAGTCCCAGGAGGTCATTCATTCAGCAATTCCCGGACGCCCAGGAAGCCCCCGGCCTGGCTTGGGCGCCGTCCCCGCCGCCAGGCCGCCATGGTCCTCGGCTGGCTGCTGCTTCTGATGATGGCTCTGCCGCCGGGCACCACGGGGGCCAAGGACTGCATCTTCTGTGAGCTGACCGACTCCACCAAGTGCCCTGGCACCCACATGCGCTGCGGGGACGACGAGGACTGCTTCACAGGCCACGGGGTGGCGCAGGGCGTGGGCCCCGTCATCAACAAGGGCTGCGTGCACTCCACCAGCTGCGGCCAGGAGGAGCCGGTCAGCTACATGGGCCTCACCTACAGCCTCACCACCACCTGCTGCCACGGCCACCTGTGCAACGCCAGCCCCGGCCACACAGGCAGCTCGACGGTGGGGGCCGCAGTGGGCCTGCTGGTGGGTTTGCTGCTTCTGCAACATTTGCCGTAGCCCTCTGGGAGGGCAGGGCCCGGGACCGGTCTCCCAGATGCCCCACCTTTCCCCCTTTCCCCCATTAAATGGCCAGAGGCCCTCGACAACCGCTTGTGGCCCCGGCTCCATCCATTCTAGGGCTGTCCCTCCGCAGCCCAGGGCCGGGAGAAGCACCCGGGGCCTGACTCGGTGGTGCTGGCCGGTGGTCTGTGAGCTTGACTGCACGACTGTATTTCATCGGTTCTAAGATGTGTGTATTTTTGCATTTCAATCAGGATACTTCTTTCCCTTGGTGGCACCTTAGAGTCTATGAAATATGACTAAAAAAAAAAAATCATCGTAAAAATAAATGACAGCTGACACTGATGGAGAATTCCTTCTGTTACGTGCCAGGCACCGTTCTTAAAGCGTGTGTCCCGAGGAGCAGCAGCAGTCACACCTGGGAAACTGCCAGAAAGGCACAGCGGGGCCCCGTCCCAGGCCAGTGAAGGGGGTGGGCAGGAAGCTGTGTTTCAAGTCCTCCGAGTGACTCTGGTGCACATCAGGCTGAAAACCCCTGTCCTGCACCGTGATCCTCAGCCGGCCATTTCTATGCCCCCAGGGCATGTGGCACTTTCTGGAGAAGTTTTTGGTTGTTATAACTGGTGTGTGTGTGGGGGGGTGGCGACCAACACCTGCTAGGTCCAGGCGGGGGACACAGCACAGCACCCTCCAGTGCACCTGGCAGACACCCCCATAACAAAGATGCAGCCTAAAATGTGAGTGGTGTCTCTATCGAGAAATCTTGTTCTAAAGGCACTGACCATTTCATCTCATTCTGGAGAGAGGGGGGAAATGAGGCACAGAGAGGTGAATCAAATTGCCCAACATTGCACAGCTAGTACTAAACAGAGTTAAGACTTGAATCCAGGTCATCTAGCTCCAGGGTCCATGTCCCAGTTTTCCAGATTAGGAACTACAAGGCCAAAGAAAGACTTCCCCAAGGTTACTAACGAGGCCAGCAGCAGGGCCAGAACCAGTACTCAAGCAGGTCTGGCTCCAACCCCGCGAGCTCACACCTCCTCTTCTGGGAAGGGTGTTTGGGCCCATTTTACAGATGAGCATAGAGAGACCCAGGAAGGGGAAGTCATCTGAAGGAGAGCTGGGTACAGGACGCTGAGAAGCCGTACCTGTAGGATCCTGAGATGACCCTGTCACCGTCGAGGAGCACGAACTTCTCTCGCACGTTGCCGCTCACCTGCCGTCGACAGCGGCTCTGGAAAGTGCAGCCCCTCACAATGCGGACGTCCAGGTTCTGTGGGGTCGGGGGGATGCCCTTGCTCAGGCCCACTCCACGGGCTGGGGTCTCTCAAGGCTGTTTCTACCTGGGTGGCCCGTGACCCATAGAAGCTGCTCAAATGTCCCCAGAGCCACTAGTATAGAGCTTGGGGATACCCCTCCATGGCCCAGGACCCCCCAGGAATGTCACCTCCACTGTCCCTAGTGTCTTGGGCACTAGATTTCGGGAGATCCTCAGCTGGCATCTATCTCAGGGACCCAGGACCCCGTGGAAAAGTCTGTGCTGCCCCAGAGCCGTGGAACGGGGCTGCCCAGGTCCCTCTGGCCCAGCCCCTACCTCCGTGGCCCAGGGGTTCACCCCCAGCTGCTGGGCCAGCACCAGGAAGGCAGGCAGCTGCTGGCGGTCCAGGAGCAGGTAGACGGGCACCCAGCGGCGCAAAGCGGCGTCGACCAAGTCCGAGAGCAGGTCTGGGTCAGTGAGGACATCCATGACCACGGCCACCAGCTGGGCACAGGGAGAGGCGATGCGGACGTGTGGGTGGAGTCTGGGATTTGGGGGCCGCTCAGGGTAGGGGCTGACATCAGGGGACTAGGGGGTAAGATGCTCGGGAGGCTGGGGTTAAGGGCCTGGACTCCCTGGGATACTCAAGGGGCTGAAAGGGAGTCCTCTGGACAAGAACAAGAAACAGGCAGGCCTTCCTAAGAGCCCAGCCCCGATGGTCTAGAAAACGTCCATCAAAAATCACAAGTCGCTGGGTAGCACGCACCTGTGACTCAGGGGGCTGAGGCTGGAGGATGGCAAGTTCAAGGCCAGTCTCAGCAAAAGGAAGGCACTAAGCACCTCCGTGAGACCTTGTCTCTAAAATACAAATAGGGTTGGGGCTGGGGCTCAGTGGCCAAGTGCTCCTGAGTTCAATCCCCGGTACCCACCCCCCTCAAAAAAAAAAAAAAAAAAAAGAAAAGAAAAGAAAAAGATCCTGACTCAAAATAAAAATAAAAAGGGCTGGGAGTTGAACCAGGTGTGGTGGTGCATGCCTGTAATCCCACAGGCTCGGGAGGCTGGGGCAGGAGAACCAGGAGTTCAAAGCCAGCCTCAGCAATGTAGCAAGGCCCTAAGCAACTCAGCGACACCCTGTCTCTAAATATAAAAAGGGCTGGGGATGTGGCTCAGTGGTAAAGCACCCCTGGGTTCAATCCCCAGTACCGCTGAGGAAAAAAAATGAAAATACATGTCTACAACCATGAACAGCCCTTGAACTGTGGCACTACGGTGCCCAAATGTCCACTGGGTCAGTGGCTGGGCGCCCTTGGAGGGCACCGTGGGTAACTGGGCTCTGGGTCCTCTGGAATGGCCTGGGTGCTGAGGGCAAGAGGGCTGACTTGCTGGGCCACTAAGGTGTGCTTTGGGAACCCCAGCATGCTGATGACCGGATCTTAAGACAGAACAAGGTAGTGGTGACAAACCCTGATTCGCCAGTCAGGTGGCCTGGGTTCAAGTCCCCACTCAGCCACTGACAGGCCCATGCCTGTTTCCCCATCTCTTCAATGGTCATAATGGTCCCCACCTCAGAGGAAGACCATGCACGTTAAAAAGCATCCTCCAGCCTCAGCCTCCTGAGTCACTCTGAGACTGCCTCCGAGGAATGGGCTTTCTGGGGCTGCAGGGGAGACTTGGGCCTTCCCAGGGGCTGGGGGTGGGAGATAGAATGCACGACTGGGATGGAGGGACAGTCATAATTTGGTTTGAGGCTCATGGATGTCTAAAGGGAAAGAGCAGGGACCCCCCACCCCCCGCTGCTGCCCACATCAGATCTCTGTCATAAGGATGAGGCCCACGGTGGGCCTCCTGGGCTCTAGGGATGGGGTCCTGGGGATGTAGACATGCGAGTCCTGCCAGGGCCCAATCCTGGAAATGGCATGTGAAGGTGTCCAGGTCTGAGGAACGGCCCCAGGCTCCTGGGGTTCTCACCTTGTGGGCAGCTTGGATTTCCTGGCGCACCAGCTCCTTGAGAGGTGGGTGGCCCTCGCCAGGTGGCTGTGTGTACAGCTGTGCTCGGGTGATGCCCTTCCAGGAAGTGTCCTCTGGCCAGCCAAGTCGCAGCAGGGGCGCTGGTTCCTCTGACTGCCCAGGCCAGTAGGTCAGACTGCCCGCGTCCTCTTCGGTGGTGGTGGTTCTTTCTGCTGCCCCGCCGGGCTCTTGCCTGGCTACTGTCCAGTCTTCAGCAGCCGCAGCCAAGCCCTGGACCTCGTCCCCGCTCAGGAAGGGCCGCAGCCCCTCCTGTTGTACACAGGCCTGGAAGGCCTCTGCCCCCTTGCTCAGCAGGGCTTCCAGCGCCAGCCGCTGGCCCTCAGAATACAAGAAGCCGGGGCTGGCCTCGCCCAGGGACCTCACCCCGGCCCCTAGTTCCACTTCTTCCAGTGCTGCCAGCTGGGAGGCTGCCATGGGGCCAGGTGGGTGGGACGAGCGTGAGTGTCTGGCTCCCCGAGGGTCTGGCCGTCTTTGGAGGATTGACCATCTGGGGTCTCCTGACAGACTATGAGGGCATCTGAGGCCTCCAGGGCAGCCCTGCAAACGTCCACAGCTCCCTGCGCTGTCACTGGCTCACAGTCCCCACAATTGGACTGTCCAGTGAACGACTCAGGCTGTGAGAACTACCTGCCAACACTGTGCCCCTGTGGTCTTCTCTGACCTCCAACCAGCTGCTAACAGTCTGGATGGCCCCCTGGCATCAGCTAGCCTCTCTGCTGGACCACACGACCTCCAGCCTGCCAGCCACAAGATGTCTCAACCTTGTCAGACTGACCACCCAGCTGCCCTGGTTGAAGGTCTGCCTAACTGCCTGACCATTTCCAGGAAACAGGTTGTCCGCCTGTGCCTGACCACCCAATCTCACTAACCAATGGCACAGTGGGTTGCAAGTGTGAATCTGGCCAAGAGCATGTCTAGCTGACCACCTGGCTGCTGGACAGACACCGGTAGCTTGACTGGCGATACCTGTCAGCTGGTGGAGCTCCCAGCTGTCCCCAGCCCAGTCTCTCTGCCTGGACGAGCCTCTCTGGTCCATCAGTCGGCTGGCTCCCCAGTCCTCACTGGCTAACCATCCTGGAAGCCTCCCAGCCCTGGAGAAATGTGCCTCAGCCCCAAGCCGAGGCACCGCCCCTTCCCCTGGGGAACTGGCCAATCTCTTCCCTACAATGGGGGACACCCTGCTTCCTGGACCCTCATACCCCAGCCCCTGAGGCTGCTGCAGTTAGGGCTGAGACACTCTGAAACCTGCCCATGATCTTGACAACCCACCTATGAAAGCAGACGAGCCAGACGTGGCTTCTCAGGCTGGCTGCCGCCGCCTGTGCCTTGGCCCCAGGGCCGCCCCCTCCTTCCTGATGCCGAGACGAGACCTACCCAAACTGACCCCTGCGTGGACTTCTGCCTCAGTCTGACCAGCTGACCACTCACTTCTTCCTGGACAGGGACCAAGCTCTATCCTGTCTCCCTCCCCAATTCTCCCAGTGATTCTACAAACCAGCTGCCCCACCTTTCAGTCCCTGGGACTGCTTTTCTTTAGACCACTGCAAGGGCTCCTGCAGAGGATGAGTAAAGCTGGCCTTCTTCAACCGAGCCTCTACCCCCTTCTTCTTGCCTTCTCAGAGCCAGTATCAGGGCTGCAGACCTCCTTTTCACTCCTGTTCTTCCGGGGCCTTTGTCAGGCTTTAATCTGGGACCTGGGAACCCAGCCCCTTGTGTAAACACAGGGAGGGACCACACAGGGGCACTTGGCAGCGACTGGCCAGCTGCCACTCAGGCTTCCGGTTACCAGGAGAGAGGGCAACACCTCACCAGCTCCCAACCCCCACACCGCAGCCCCACCCCCTAGTGCCAGGGAGATCCTAGGAGAGGCGGCATGGCTAATTCTAGGAGTAAACAGGAAAACAAGACACCTGGGAAGGAGGGGGTGCTGATTCCAGTGGGTAGAAGGTCCAACTGGCCCAGTAAGGTAGCTCTGCGCATGTGCCAGGAAGGCCGGGGACACCTCCCTAGAGCAGAGAGGAAGGGCTCCTCCTGGAGGCTGGTCTTCTTGGAGGACCCAGCGTCAAGTCCCCAGACCAAATGCATTCCCACCACAGGTGCCCACGGCTGGTCCCCATTAATAACACAAGAAGGCCATCAAATTCAAAGCCTCTTTTATTGACAGTAAATCTGGAGTTAGTTTTTGTACCCACGGCTGGCCCTGCGACCTCTGGCACGCTCGAATTTCCTGCCCTTGGAGCGGACATAGGGTCTGTGGAAAGAAGAGACAGGGTCAGGTGAAGCCTCCCGCTGTGCTGGGGACTCGGCAGCACAGGGAGCCAAGAGGAAGAGCCTGCACCAGGACCTCAGGGTCCCAGCCTGAGCCCCACAGCGAGGGTGTGAAATGTAAGCCCCAGCTCCCCAGAAGATGCCCCCACTGAGGCCCAAGGCCTGGTCAGCCTGCATTTAACCCAGGGAACTGCGGGCCGAGCAAAGGGAGGGCAGCTAAAAGGCAGCGAAGCCAGACCTCCCGGGGACCCTGATACTCACTTGGTGTGGCTGTGTGGGGTCCCAGGAGCCTTGCCAAAATGCCGGTACACCTCTCGGCCCTTGCGAGGACCTGGGGAGAGGAAGAAGGAATCAGGCAGGGACAGGTAAGAGCCACTCTGCCTTTGGCCTGCACAGGGCTTGAAGACCATGAGGTGCAGGCCTGGGCGTGTCTGATCTCCCAAACCCAGGAGGGTGAAGGCCAGTGCACCTCACCAAACCCCGACAGGTGCCAGCAAGCATCACTTACCAGACAGCAGGACTGTGCCACGGCCCTTGGGGGAGTCCAGGGCCAGTTGGTCAAAGGTGAGGATCTTGCCCCCAGCCTTGAGGATGCGGGTACGGGCTCGGCTGGTCACACGCAGTGCGCACACCTGGGGGAAACAGGAGGGAGGGGCTCAAATCTCCTGTAGGGAGACCTAGGGACTGCATCCACTGCGCCGGCACAGCACAAGTGTGGCTGCTGGTACCACCATCAGGAGCTTCCTGGATTGACAGCTGCTTTTTTTTTAATGTGGTGCTGGGGATGGAACTCAGTGCCTCACCTGTGCCAGCAAGTGCTCCACCACTGAGCCCCAGCCCCAGGCCTTAATCCTTTACCTCTCAGAACTTCCAGACCCCACCTCGTGTATTTTGGGGGAATAAGGAAACCGGGGAAAGCATGATTTAAGGATGTGGTATGCAAATGACAAAAGCGGCAAAAAAAAAAAAAAAAAAGACTTGAGCACAGGCTCACTCCAGAACCAGCACGCCAGCAGTCTACAGGGAGCCTAGAGGGGCTTGCCGAAGACTTCCACCATGAATGACCACTCCATCCAATCCTAAGGCCACCAGGACAGGTGTGGTGCTGGTCCCACCCACAGGAGTGACAGAGGTGGCATTACAACAGAGCAAGAAATCTGGTCAGGTCTGAGAGCAGTTTCCTGAGCCAGAGCCCCAAGCCCCACTCACCTTCAGTTTGGGCACCTCCTGAACACGAACATCATCTGTTATGGTCCCCACGACCACAGCTGTCTTGTTTTCTCGGCCAGGAAGCTTCATCTTCCGGATCTTGAGAGGCATACGAAAAGTTGTTCTGGTGTTTAAATCCCATCCCCCACTCCGGGCATCCCAAGGACCAGGATGGCTGCGCCCTCCAAATGGACTAACCTGCCCATACCTCACCTCCCAACTAGAACAGAAGAAAGTCCAAACAGAGACATCTCACCTGGTGAAGGTGTGTGCTGGGGACGAAACCTAGGATCTGGCATGCTAGGCAAGCATTCTACCACTAAACCCCGACCCCCAGAGATACGTGAAACTTGAAAGCTCAGACAACCCCACGAAGCCACCACAACCCCTCCCATGGCGAGGTGAAAGTAAGGCTAAGACGCTGGGCCAGCTGGCCACAGACACTTGATTTTGACTGAGGTTCAGAGCTGGGCACCCACTGCTGGCTGCCTGGACTCAGGGGATGCCAGGCTGCTCCAGCACCCACTCCAGAGCCAGTCCCTGGCCCAGACACTCACCATCCGGGAGAGGGAGAGAGGTGGCCTGTTGGTGCGACTCATGAACAACCTCTTCAGTACCACTTGGTTGAAGGTAGAATTGGTTCGTCTAGCCAGAAACCTGTACAACTGTAGAGGATCGGGAAGACAGTGAGAATGTGGTGTAGCCAGCAGCACTCCCCACTTTCAAGTGAAGGAACAAACAAATGATTCAGGGTAAAAAGGCTGCAGGACTCCCCGACCCTCAAGATTCTCGACTGCCCCAGAACTCAAATTTCCAGATTGGGGAGTGACAGGTCCAGGCAAGGGCGACTCCCCCACCCCACCCCTTCCTGGCCAGGGACACAGAACGCCCCCTCCCCAAGGATCTCAGGCCCAACCTCACCTTGACCAACAGCCTTAGGTAGATGTCCTGGCTCTTGGGCTCCTTGCGCCGAACCTTTCGGTCCTTGTTGTGGCGTATGTCGACTCCCTGGAGGGGTAAGGGGAAGCCATGGTTCCAGTTCTGAATCTGATCCACTACTCACTTCATAGACAGCCTCAGTTGTTACTTATTTCCCAGACTGAGCAGGAACCCAGGCTCTGGGGACAAGAGCTCAAATCCATGTCAGTTCTGAGCCCTCTCTGTAAGGTGGGCATCATCTGAATGAAGACCACAGAACCTCTAAGGATCTTAGTACAGTAGCCATCCAAAATTTTAAAAGTCTTTACAAGCTGTTATCTTTGGAAGGACATAATATACGCCTGTAATCCCAGCTGAGACAGCAGATTGGCAATTTTGAGGCCAGCATGGGCAACAGAGAGACACTGAAAATAAAAAGGGTGGGGAATGTAGCTCAGTGGCAGAGAGCCCCTGGGTTCTCCAGTATACCCGCCCCCCCAAAGCAAAACAAAAACCAAACAATGGACTCCCTTACCAGGAGGATAATAAAAAATAAGCCAATGGCAAGCTCTAAGTAACAACAGCGGTGAACCTTTACTTCATAGATAATAGGGACCGCAAAAGCAGTTATCTCCCTCTAACAACTCTCTGAAGTACTTTACTCCCACTTTAGACCCAAGAATCTGGGGAAAGCCCAAATTTCCCAATGCATCCCTACCTGCCCTTCTCGGACTGTGTGATCGTTAGTAACTAAGCATCAGCACTTCCTCTGTGCACGACCCCATGATGTGCACGGCCAGTGACTAGCGACTGACTTCTTCCCAACTCCCTCATCTCCAACACAACACTACTATGTTCCCAAAGAAAAAAGAAAAGACACTGGGGTGCAGGCCGGAAAGCACGAGCACAAGGTGGGTAGAGGACTGAGACTCAATCCGAGGCCCGTCCGGACCCCAGTCCCACGCATGAGATTCTCGACTGCCCCAGAACCCAAGTTTCCAGACTGGGGAGTGACAGGTCCAGGCAAGGGCGGCAAAGGCAAGCGGTTAAAAGTGGCTACGACGCAGCTACCTAGGCCCGATTCCTGGCTCGGCCATTCCCTGGCTTGGGGCGTCGGTCCCCCGCTCAGCCGCCCAGCACCTCATTTTGATCATCACTGCAATGGGGGCAGTAACACAGGACCACGGGACTTTTAACCCATTCCCGGTCTCCAGGACATCAGAACAGCCCTCCCGCCTCAAAAGTTGCCTCCTTCGGGCACCCACGGCACCCCTCCCGCAAGCCCCCACCCCAAGACCGCCGAGGATGGCAGCGGATAGGCAGGCCTTGGACGTCGCAAGGCTCACTCACCATGATGGCGCCTAGAGCTCGGCCTAGTCCGGAAAGAGAGAACAACGCCGAGGTGGGCGGGGAAAGCCTCCAGCGCGCAGCGTCCTGGTGGCGTCACACGGGAGCGACACGACGCTCTACCAGGGACCGGTCTTCTCTATGGTGTTTCGGAAGGCTGGCGAAAAACTGAATAGGGCGGAGGAACAACCAAAGAGAAACAAGCACGACGTTGAGGAGAGAAGGGCTAGCACGTCGGGGGCCTCTCTGGCCCTACCCGGTCGCTGTTCTCGATATTCTTCCGGAAAAAAGAGACCCGAGAGTGAGAGAGATGCGTGGACCTAGGAGGAGGCTTCGCGCGGTGACGCTCTGGCCTGACGCCGAGAGCCTCTCTGTGGCTCCCGGAGGACCTGGCGGGCCGAGTCTTGGAGGTGAGGAGGCGGGGCTGGCGGGTCTAGTCTGGGCCTGGAGAAAACTCTCACCCCACGCTTCCGGCGTTTCCTTAGATTCGCGGCCGCCCTATCTATCTCGCGCTGAACTTGTAGCGCAGCCGAAGCTCGGGAAGTCCTACTAGATATCTAACCCGAGATCTTCTTGCTGCAGCTCAATCTGTAGCACCTTATATTTCCGCCTTTCGATTCATCATCGTCCCCTGACCCTTCCTCAGCTTTCCCGTCACGGAGGGTCTGCTTTTCTCAACCAGAGAGGTTCAGCTGGTCCAGCGGTTTCGGTGTGAGGGATGTACAAGGTACTGGTGTGTAGAGAAGGCGCACTAAGGCTCGCCTTGAAGGGTTGAGTGGAGAAGAAATAGGTGACAAGCTTCTGAGAGAGACAGGAGTGACCTAGAGAGGGGGAGATTAGAGAGGATAAAGAATGGAGCCCCCATGGATTGGGATGAGGATAGAGAGATGGAGACCCAGCGGATGGGAAGGGAAAGATGAGGGGATGGAGACCCCCAGATAAATTCAGATGTAGAAAGATGGCAAAACGGGGCTTGCCCGGGTGTGACCATATTCAAATTCTGGCTCTGCTACTTATTAATGGTATGCCCTTGGGC